CTTATAATGATTTTCCATTTTTTTGTGCAGCAAACGTCAAAACAAAAAACGAATTATTGTTATTAATGTTGACCGATGATATCTATTACAAAATTTAAGAATATGTGTTGTTTTCGTTTTGAAAAAAATGCTTTTTTTCTGCCAAAAACTTTAGAATTTGAAAAGAAAACAAGGAAGTCGACAAAAAGTCTGAAAAAATGGGCATTTATTAATGATTAACATGATGGAATAAACGTGATTACAAAACATTAGAGTATTGTTTTTGCATAATATTGTAATGAAAATCATACATCAAACACTTACTTAATACAAGAATAGCAAAACCAACATAAGAATGTTTATCAAGAAGAATATTAGTCTTCTCCATTCCAATGGCTACTAACATTTTGTTATATATTATGCTTTTTTTGTGGCAGTATTGGGTCTGACATCAACTCTTTATCTAACATATTTCACAGTTTTTACAAGAACTGAATAATTCATTAGCTTGAAAAAATCTTTCAATCACAATACTTACTTTTCAATCTGAGAAACAACTACTGAAGCGAAGCTGTAAAACTTTTAGTTTCAGAGTTTTATGTTCGTACTCGTAAGTGACAGTACTAAGTAGTGAGATGAGTCGTGTAGTCTAGATTGAGGTTATATTCATTTTCGAAACGCGTATAACACCATGTAATCGTTCATCGTGAGAGAGAGAGAGACAGGCCCCGCCTTTCCAAGAAGAGAGGGGAGTGATGGAACTCGATTCTATGTTATTGATTCGAGAAAGATGTGCAAGCTACGAATTCTTCATACAAAAATCACGTATACGACCAAGATCAATCAAGACATATTCCTCTAGTTTACCCAACAAACTTCTTCATGCTCCGATTTCAGGCATCTTATGCTACTTTACAGCATGAAATTAAAATGTTTTATTTTATTTCGCCGGAGCATCAACAGATATACTTTCGTGGTCAGGAACTGACGATAGTGGAACATCCTCTTCAGTCTGCTGAAGATGGTGAAGAAATAACTATTGTGAGTCTCTAACTTGCTGTATTAATGAAAGTTAAAATCTTCTTCAATCTTTGTGAACGAATAGGTACCGCTACCGTACCCTCAAATCACTCTGGGAGCTTAAATAAGATATCGAAAAAAAGTCTTAGTTTGATTCGAAATTGTTTTTCCAGAAACATTCTCTCTACAACCATTGGTTAGCGTTTGAGCAACATTCTCAGAATGCAAAAAAAGCGGTAATGTCTAATACGGCAGTTGAGGAACATGCTAGTTTGGCTTTCTCACAATATCACATCATGAATTCATTAACACCATTTATTTTTACATTTTCTCATTTGAGTTCATCGGTAGATAGTTTTTCTCATACGTTCTACTTGTATAAGGACAGTCAGTTTGAGCCCATTACACACGCTTCAAAAGCTTATTTTTCAACTCTTTATGGTGACGATCCTGCTTGTCCAAAACTCAGCATTGAGTGGCAAAAAAGGAGGTATCGAAAAACTAGTTGTGTCAGTTTGTGCCATCAATATCTTGTGAATGAAATTATTCCAGGGAGCGTGCACACTTCGATGTCACGTATATCGAGAAAAAAAATTGTTGAAGATTTACCACGTTAGAACTCATACGAAACTGGCACAACAACACGACAGCCAAAACGCTGATCTTCGGGTGTTATTTATGTATAAATTACTCGAGATTCTCGGATTAGGATCAAAAGTTCACGTTTACCAAAACACGGGGCAGCATGGTTTTGGCCTTTACATTGCTAGCGAAGAAGGTGATTTCATTCAGCCAGTAGTTAACATATCACGATTACGTTCAAGTTTCCAATTTCCAATGTTTCCACCTGCTAACAGATGATACAGAGAGAAACTCTCTTTTGTATTATCAAGTAAAATTACTATGCTTTTGTTTTCATTTGAAGGATTTGTTCAACGACAAAAGAAACTATGGCGTTGACAGTGATGGACGGCTAAAAATGTTACACTTCGCGGTAATTTTTGGGAGATTTCTTCGTGAATAATAATCACGTTCATGATTGAGACTCGCTATCACCAATGTAGTGCAAAACGGCAAGCCGAAACTTATGGTGAATATCAGGGAAAGCCAAGCAGAATTGGTAAAGAATGTTTCTCGCTGTGGGATCTTCCGCGTTGTATAGATTTGACTGATAAGGCAATTGAAAACGAGAAAAACCTTTTTAAAAGGCATTCTATTACTTTCGAAGAACACCGTGATTATGATCAATACTTGACTAAGATCAAGTACAATGTTCAATACTTCACAATTCATTTCCATAAGTTAGAGTTCAAAGGAACATTATTTGCTCGTTGTCTCAGTGTGATTGATCCTAATCAACTTCCGTTCCGTTTATAACATAACTATTTTGCTCATAATTTCAGCTCAAATAAATTTTTCAGAATAGAAAACTTTCGGAATAAGAGACATGTAGAAAATAATAAAGTCAGGTTACTAGAGTAGACAGCTATACAGAACAACCCTATATGAGGTTCCTATGCTGTTGAATTATTGATTCTCTAGTGACCGTATCCTGGTAAGATATTCTTAACGGATACTTCAAGCAACAGAAGCTGCATCTCGAGCTTAAATCTCTTAGGGGCCTCAAGTTACCTTGCATCTACAGTTATGAAGAAGCCAGCTAGGAATTCACAGAAAGATATTATTAAGTCGTCGTCCGGTGGGCCACACGTTCTACATTGATTTGACATGGTTGGTGCAAGCACCAGCTACAGGGTCCTTGAAGTTTTTTGAATGGTTAACAGTTAAATGTTTAAAATCTATTCCCATCCTTCACGCAGAATTCGCCAAAAACCCATGTTTGTCTTTTAAGACAACCGACAATGTACTTTCTTCGGGATACAAGAGTCTCATCTATTTCAACAGTTTTTCCCGGCGCTCTATTAACATTTGGTTTTTCCAGTAGTCTCCATGCACATACTTCCCTAAGGTAGTTGTTATGGTTCACTGTGTGATCGCCTGTTATTTTCAGGTGAACCTTACAAAACTTAAGAGTAGTGAGCTCACTCAGATTAGTAGTAAATAATGCATGCCATAAAATCTTCCACGAACTTGACCGCCTCACAGATTATATTTCGTGGACAGAAAATGGCTTCCGAAATAGTCACAGTATGCATTTGAAGTGGCATCGTGGAACAACCGAGGTTCATGCCGAGGAGACCATGCGAACCCCACACACCACCGCCTAAAAGTTTAGTTTTTAATAAATCGAAAAAAATAACTATTGTTACCAGAATCTCCCCATGGAATTGGAGCTGTTCCGAGAATGTATGGACCAAATTGCTCCTTGCCATCGCCAGAATAAAAACTGCGAGTCGAGTATATTATTCCAGAAACAAAGAAATATCTGCCTTCTTTGTTTCCGAACCCGGACATGGTTATCGGCTTAGATTCTTGGGCAATAGGTGGGCCATGCTAAAAAGGCATAATTTCGCAACAAAATAGGAGAAAAACTTTGAGAACTTACAGATACTATGTCAACTTCGCTTCTCATTAAGATATAATCAAAAAATTCGTTTATGAAAACTACAGAAACAGGATATCCTGTTTGTTCCTCAGTTTCCAAAGTG